TATTGATACTCTGCAGAGACTCTGAATTTAATTATTTTCTGAAGTGTTGATTTCTGCTTTAGCAGACAGTTAATTTGGTTCAATTCAAACTTCAAATTCAGCCTCCCTTGTGGAGGGCAACAGGTCAAGTATCTACTTTACTAACTTACACTTCTAACCATCTTGTTTTAATATGTTCCTTGGAGGTTCTCTTGCTTATACATAGTTTGGGACTTAGCAAAACACCTGTAATAAATATACAGATTTCATTTTTCTTCTCCATGACTTCATTTTTTTCCCAAGGTTTTCTCTCTTATGTTCCAGCCATTTTGTTAGCTCCCAAACCTGTCCTCAGACTCCTTTAGCCGATAAAATGATTTTTATCTGCCTGAATTTAAGTCATATGGCACTAGGTAGGCCAGAGTTTGCCCCCAGCTAGAAACTATAACACTGAAATTTTACACTGAAATTTTTCTTCATTCAAGGATCAGCTTCCCTTCAGACTTTGCCTACTTTTATGTGGCTCTTGAGAGCCTTCAAACAATTGTTTTTAATATTTTGTCTACAGATTATATTTTTGTCTGCTGATAGGTTTAGTTAGATACAAGCTATTTATTCTTTGTTGGAAGCAGAACTTTCCTACTCCTTTAATAAAATGACTTTGAGAAATGAAAGTTTGGTTATTGTTTCTAAATTGCGATCACCTATATTGGTGCTAATATCACTTGGCCATAGGGTGGTGTGGTATACAAAAGTAGCATATTCCAAAGTCCTGAGAGCAGTGTTGTGGCAGCCTACCTTCAGGTCTAATATGTGATCTGACTTTTTAGGAGCATTTGAATATTCAGTCACCAAGCAAGTTTATAGCCAGTAAGTAGAAGAACATCATTTCAGTCAGTATTAAAGGCAGGGAAAATTCTCTTATTATTCAGGAATTTGAGTCTGGTGCTTCATGGGATGCAGCATTGAAGAACTGATGAAATCATTATCTCTGATTACTTTAACTACACTGCACACTCAGGGCAAGCTTTAGGGTCACATTGCCACTGTTATAGAAAGAATGAAGGAATTCAAAGTCTACTGGATGAAGGGGAAAACTTGAAGAAAGAAAGACAGGATTTGAACTTGTGTTTTCAGGTAAAGGTAGAAATTGAAACTCATAGATATGCTATAATTGAGCTAACATAATTTCTTCTATCTAACAGCATTAGGGTTGAGGTAGTTCTAAATTAAATTCACTGTTCACTCTAGCATGAGCTGAATTCATATTCTTGCCACATTTTCTATTTGAGAATTAAGCTGTAGATCAGGAAAGAGTGAGAACAGCTACCCCAAACTGTACTTCAAAGAGTCCTTCCAAGGAAAGGTTGTCTCCTAAGTGATGCTGAAGCAATCCTAAGGAAAGATACACTTTTTTGAAAATATTTGTTTTGGTGGACATCTTATAATCAGAATATATAATATAAAATATATGCTGTATATTCTGATTTTCTGTTTAAGACATATGAATGTATTGTGTATAAATGATCATGTTTAATATTGAGAGCTAGGAGATCTTAAAAAAAAAAGTCATTGAGAAACAATTTAAACCTGTATCCCAAAATGTGACATGTTACACCAAGGGTTGACCAACTACAGCCTATAGGCCCATGGGTATTATTTCTCAAGAATCTTTTGCCAATCTCTATGTTACACCATACTTCGTGATGGGGATGTAAAATAACGATTCTGCTCCCATACAGTTTACAATCAAAGGTTTCTCCTTAGGGAATTGACCGTATATTGCTCCTTTCTCTCCCTCTCTCCCTCCGTCCTTCCATCCTTCCCTCTCTCCCTCCCTCATCTTTCTTTCCAGATGCTGCTAAAATTTAAATATGTCTGATAAGAATCTTCTAATTGTTCATAAGTTTTTTCCCTATCTTTTATCTTATGTTTACCTTTTAATTTTAAAATAGTGGTAGCATTGCGTATGTACTGACATTGCTATGTAACAAATCATCCCAACCTCAGTGGCTTAAACCAAGAACCACTCATTATTTCTCATGAGTTGGAGTCAGCTGAGGGTCAGTAGATTAAATCTTGGCTTAACTGGGAGTGACTCTGCTCCATGTATTTCTTATCATCCTTCTGGTATCAACTCTGGACAAGTACTTCTAGTGATGGCAGAGAGTAAGTGGAGACACAGAAGACCTTGAAGTCTAGCTTGGGACTTGCATACCATCATTTCTAACTCAGTCTATTGGCCAAAATAATAATAATAATGTGACTGAACCCAAAGGATGGAAAAATATGCCCCCTCAGTGATAGGGTCCTGGAAAACTTACATGGCGAAGGGTGTGAAAATTTGGAGTTAATAATACAGTCCGTCAAAATGTGGTGTTGTATCAGTATATAGCCTTCAACCAGCATTAGGAGCTGAGTTACAACTCAAGTGTTTTAATGCATAGCTTTTATATGCATCAAAAATCTGGACAGCATGGATGCCTTCCTCAGAAGTCATTTTATAAGGGTACTAGGAGTATAAGGACCCTAAATCCCTTCAGTTTCGTTAGTATATATCAAATGCCTTCTTTGTGCCTAACACTATATTAAGTTATGGGGCTTTAGGAACTGTAAATCAGTGGTAAACACAGATCATGGATAAGTAATTAGAAGATGGTGTGAGAGTTCTAATAGTTGAAGTATATATTGGGTATATAGGTAGTAACAGAAAAGAGGAATAATCATCTCTGTGAAAAGACATAGAAAGCTTTGTGGAGGAGGTAGTCATATTTAATCTTGAAAGATCAATGCCTGGATGCGGTGGCTCATGCCTGTATCTCAGTGCTTTGCGAAGCTGTGGTGGAAGGATTGGCAGCAGTGCACGCTTGCAGTCGTAGCTAATCAAGAGGCTGAAGTGAGCTTGCTGCTGCACTCCAGCCTGGGTGACAGAGCAAGACCCTGTCTCAAAAAAAAAAAAAAAAAAAAAAAAAAAAAATACATCTTAAGGGTTGGAGGAGTCAGCATTCCCTGCAGAACAAGTTCAGGTAAAGAAGTACTAGTTGTAGGAAATATAATGTTAACTCTTAAAAATTAAGTGCTATAATTAAAATATCTTGTTTCTACCCAGATAATAGAAAAGTCTCCAAGAGCCAGTGAGTAACTTTATATTTTACTCCTTCTTACATCATTTTCATTGCAGTTCTCAAATGTTGGCATGCATCAGAATCACCTGGAGAACTTGTTGAAACATGGATTGCTGGACCCTACCCCCAGAGTTTCATATTCAGTAGGTCTGGAACAAGACCAGAGAATTTGCATTTTGAACAAGTTCTCAGATAATTCTGATGGTGTTGTTCCAAGGATAACACTGTGAAAACTATCGCTTTATGTATCTGGTAAACTGTAATGTGCTGAATATATAAAGATGAAAAGAAAGCATCTCTGCTCTAAAATTGTTTATAATAGGGTGGTGGGAGATAGACAAGTAAATGTATAATGATAGTACAATGGAAAGCATGCTGTGATACGTGGAAGTACAGGTTGCAGTGAGAATACACCAAAGCATCATGTAACTCAGAATGAGACCAGAGGCTGCAGGTGTGGATAAGACCCAGCAGAAACCCTTAATCCTAAGCTGAGTTTTTAAAAATTGTCATAACATTAAAAAGTAGTAACAAATAAAAAAAAATGACTTTTGAATCATGCTTTGCATGAGATTGGTAAATGGATTCCTCTTTAACGGATTGCCTTTAAAGATCACAATTCTTTAGGAAGCTGTTGCTTGTATAGGTGGGACAACATAACTCTGAATTAGTCATTTTCCAGTCAAAAGGTATCCTTTCCTTTGTTATTTTGCTTTACTCCTCTTCAACAATTTTTTTTAAGAAGCTAGAGAAATATATTATGTTTATCATGTGTGATTCGACATTTTCACAAAAACTGCTAGAAATTTTATGTATGTCAAAATGCAGACAAAACTAGACAAGAACAGGAATAATCACAGCTGGTGAAACAGAGCTGGTAAGGCAGCTTCACCTGGGAATTTAGGTGCTGAGTCCATAGGTGAACAGGATCAGCTATCCACTGCAATTCTATGTAGGTTAGTATGAGATCATGAGACAAAGTGGCATCTTTGCCTCAAGAACAGCACTGATGCAATGGATAGGTTATGGACCTTGGCAGGACTATAGATAGCTTTCACTTGGACATAATAAGCTGGGTGAGAGGGTTAGGCAGGAATTAATTAGAGGTATACTTGAGGCAGGCTGCTGATTGGTCAGTTCTTTGAGTTATATGCTCAGCAAATGGAAGCAAGAACATGACAAATGGCTGGGCTAGTTTTGAGAAAGAGATTTACACTCATGAGGTTGCCTTGGCAATAAAAACATCTGCCTTTTAAATGAAGCAGCCCTGAACTATGCTGTCGTCACAACCTAAAGAGATAACACCTTTGTAGGAATAATGGTTTGTGAGGCTTCTGGCTATTTATTTATAATTTTAAATCAAAAGCATATACTAAAACCATGTAGAATATTTTATTTTTTTGAGATGGAGTCCCACTCTCTCACCCAGGCTGGAGTACACCGATGTGATCTTGGTTTACTGCAACTTCTGCCTCACAGGTTCAAGCGATTGTCCTGCCTCAGCTTCCCAAGTAACTGGGATCACAGACGTGTGCCACGACAACCAGCTAATTTTTGTGTTTTTAGTAGAGACGTGGTTTTACTATATTGGCCAGGCTGGTCTCGAACTCCTGACCTAAAGTGGTCTGCCTGCCTTGGCCTCCCAAAGTGTTGGGATTACAGGCGTGAGCCACCACACCTGGCCTGAATATTTCATTTTAAACAATAATAGTCTGCTTGGTAGAGGGAGCTGAAGTCCAGAAGAAATTATAAATAGAACACTCAAACTTTAAAAGGATGTAGTGCAATATATTTTTATTGAAGATAAATTGGTAATGATAATTATTTGTAATCTTTTTACTTGTCCTTTTATAATATAATTTAATTAACCGTGAAATCTTGTAAACTTTTTCTTAGCATACATCTGTGGATGGATATACTGAACCACACATCCAGCCTACCAAGTCAAGTAGCAGACAGAACATACCCCGGTGTAGAAACTCCATTACGTCAGCAACAGATGAACAGCCTCACATTGGAAATTACCGTTTACAAAAAACAATAGGGAAGGGAAATTTTGCCAAAGTGAAATTGGCAAGACACGTTCTAACTGGTAGAGAGGTAAGTTTGCACAGTGCCTTTTAATATCTGCCTGGACCTCTCTGGAGTCTTGTTAAAGCTTCCCTGTAGTTCATGTTTGGGAGTAAATGACAGTTTCAATAGGGTAAACACTGGGGTATATGTGAATGGAACATTAGTAGGTAGAGGTTTATCATGGCATAAAAGTTGACCTTTTAGTGTTTAGAAAAGAATCATTCCTACATATTAGCATCTCTTAGAAATCAGTTGTGCTGTGGATGAGCTTTCCTCAGATGCTGACTTTCATTATATGATTTCTATGAACATTTCTGATTGCCATTGCTGCCAAACCCCCAGGAACAAAAGTTCTTAATGCTTGAGATAAGTTAGGTATAAATATGTAGAAAGTCACCTACTAATTTGTATCTGTTTAGAGACTGCATTGAACAAGTATTTCTATACAGGTAATTTTCTCAGGTAATAAGATAATTATAGTTCTAAAATCTCATGTGTTTTAAGTTACATGTATTTATATAGTAAGAATTTATATATTTGCGCATACGTGCATTGTATATATATGCCTGTCTGCTAGGGTTAAAGACTTTCTTTGAATAAACGTGTAACATTTGTATTGCATAATGTTTACTAGATCTGATTAGGATATTATTTAAAAAAATCTTACTCAGGCCTAATGCAGTGGCTCATGCCTGCAGTCCCAGCTGTTTGGGAGGCTGAGGTGAGCATAATTGCTTGAGGACAGGAGTTCAAGATCAGCCTGGGCAACATGGTAAAACTCCAGCTCTACAAAAAATACAAAAATTAGCTGGGTATGGTGGTGTCCCAGCTATTTGGAAGGCTGAGGTGGGAGGATCACTTGAGCCCAGGAGGTCAAGGTTGCACAGTGAACTGTGATAGCACCACTGCACTCCAGCCTTGGAAATAGAGTGAGATCCTGCCTCAAAAACAACAACCACCAAACAAAAAAACCTCAAGGAAAATATTTTTATTAAGTTTTCACTTTGCTCTCTATATAGTATCATTGTCATTTCCCATTGAATTTGATTCTTTCTGTCTGTTCTGACCCCAGGAGCTAGAGACAGGCTACACTGGGCAGCGCCTTGATATTCAAGTCCATTTTGTCAGTTTGCTTTAAGTAAGCTTGGGTATCCAATCTCTCTAACAACATACTCGTTTTTATTCACATAATATTTAACTTACTGTAAGTTTACAAGCCACTTCCCCCTATAATTGTTGCTTATCAAGATTATGAGTAAAAGGTTAAGATACAGGATGATTTTTACTCTAAAGGAGGAAACTTAGAAGAAATAACAAAGCTTTAATTTCATTGGCTCAGGATCAAAAGGTTAAAGACTTGGGTCAATGGAGTATATTCTAAGACTGCCAGATTATCAAAACGTTACTATCTAATTATGTGAGCCCTCAAAAAGAGCTAAATTATATCTAGTTAGGAATGAAACAAAAGTTTTTTTTTTTGTAAGTTTTATTCATTAAAATGTGCATTTTTCAAATAGAGTTTAATGATTCTTTTTTTTAGGTTGCTGTGAAAATAATAGACAAAACTCAGCTAAATCCTACCAGTCTACAAAAGGTATTTAATTAATTTAATAATAATTAGAATGTGACTTTATCATTAATATATGGTGTTCTGTAAAATTAGTCATCTTAAATTTTCTATTAGGTACAATCCTACATTTCATCAATATATGAAGAAAAGACATGATATAAAATGTAATGTTTATGACTTAGTAGTTGCTTGAAAACTGTCTGCTACTTAAATACATGTATCGTATGAAAGGAATTTATCTCTTCTATTCAATAGAATACAACTTTGTAGGCATTTGAAATATTCAAATATTTTGAAGTATTTTCAAGTATTCATGATTGACCTCTGAAAATTAGACTTTATTAAATGAATAATCCTTTTACTGATAGTATCTGATTTCTTAACTGTTATATAAAATGGTGGCCTAAGTCATTAAAACTTTTCAGAGTTTTCAGATAAAGCCCAGAGTCCTTGCTGGTAAGCTTCTTAATTATCTAGTTATAAGTTAACATTGTTCTTAATAGTCATGTTTCCTTTTATTGCTTCATTTGCTGGTCTTCCTTCTTCCACAAGAACTACTAGTCTTTCAGATAGCTCACAGTAAAAAATAAGAATGTTTCATTAAAGGATGAAAATATGAAAGAGCATAGAAAAGAAAGCAGTTAGGATGGGGATTGCCTTAGCAAGCCAACGCTGTTTCATGTTACTTCATTATTATTCAAACAGGAAAATTTTCTCAAATGAATATTTTAGTACTTTAAAAATGAAGCAAATGTTTTAACACTTATGCCATATATGATAAATTTGTATAGAGTGAGAGAAAATATACATTGTAACTTTTATTAGAATGGGACCATTGTCACATATATAAATATGACACAAATGACTTTGACTTCCTAAAACAGAAAGAATTTTATAAGAAATTGTTAGTAAGCTGTGTTTACACCTGCTATGATTGTAGCATTAAATTAAAAATTTAGGTTTGTGATATCCAAACTTCTCATTTGGCTCAGTGCCAGATTTGTTCTTTGCAATCTGCCTTTGTACTTACTGGACTTCTTAAAATTTGACAACCAGTATAACTTTTCATAATACTGATATTTCTGCTCAGTTAGAACATGAAAGCTTTGCTGGATTCTTCTTTTTCTGTGAATGTGAAATGTATTATGGATCTCTTCTGGGAGAAAGTCTCTTCTTCTAGCACCAATCTTTTTGGTAACCATGATGCATTTGTGTAAGTGACAAAAAGGCATCCTCCCTGAACCAATTAACTATGCAAAGATGCTGTATTTTACTGGGCTGGAACCACAATGGGACATATCTTTGCCCGCCCCTGTGCTAGGAACCCATTTAAAATGCACAGGCTGCGTAATTGTACACAGTGTCCCTGTCCATGGCCCATCTAGCTTTTCCGCTTTTCCTGGATTTACTATGGATTATTCTGGCAAATGGAGTGATTTTAAGTGGCATCTAGAACTACTCAGGCCTGTTGTGCTAGCTGGAATACACAGTAATGTGACCCCTACTCTGTCTTCCCCAAGGTTGTGTAAACAAAGTGGTACTTACTGAAATATGTGAACAGGAAACTGAATGTTGCTTTATTTATCTGGATAACTAAAACATGTAATTGTTGATGTAAGTAATTTCTGTCATAAAATCTACTAATCTTGTTGATAAAGTATTGCTTTTCCAAATAGGCATATAAAAAATGATAAAATTTGGTTTTCTTTACCCTGTGAAAATAAAAATAAAGGTGACTCACTAAATGTAGCCAGTAAGCTGTGTGTGTGTGATTGTTTTTTAAATAATTTATATGTATGGTCATAGATTTGCTTTCTGTTAAAAGTTCTGGGAAAAAAAATAACAAGGCTTTATTAATTATCATGTGTTTAGAACATTCAGCATTCAACCTTTCTCATTTAGTTGGTAGCATCTCCCAGTCATTCAGACCTAAAAAATAAGTAATGGAATGTAAAACAATCCATTTTCCCTACCATTGAAAAAAATAGTAAAATTTGCCTACATGTCTTAGGTATGTTCATTAAAAGGCAGGTAATTACCATACATTTATATGAAATAAGGATTCATTGTAATCTCACTTCTAGAATTGTTTGGCTAAATTTGTTTTGGTTTGATCTGAATTTAAGCTGATCCCTCTCCTTTATCCCCTTCTGTGTATAAGGTATTTATAGGAATTATAGCCTTGCTTTGCAAGCATCAGTGATTGATAAAAGAATCTAAACTTGATACACCAAGTGCTTAAAACTGCCAAAATACACTTCTTAAAAGTGGTTTTAGAATTGTTAAGGACCTTTGGCTTCAATGTTGTTCCCATAATATGCTCATATTATTTATGTTAAATATTTTAAATTAATGGAATCCAATTTAATGAGTTTTCATAGTTAAAAATTATAAATTATTTAAGGTAGATGCTAGTTTTAGTTCTTCCTCTTTAAAGTCTGAGTCCTACCTCATATAATAATGAATTTTAGAAGAGGGTCCATGAACCATGCTAGTAATTCCTGGGGTTCTTTTTTTGGAGATGGAGTCTTGCTCTGTCACCCAGGCTGGGTGCAGTGGCTCGATCTTGACTCACTGCAACCTCCGCTCCCTGGGTTCAAGCGATTCTTCTGCCTCAACCTCCTGAGTAGTTGGGACTCACAGGTACACGTCACTACACCCAGCTAATTTTTTTTTTTTTTTTAATTTTTAATAGAGACGGGGTTTCGCCATGTTGGCCAGCATGATTTTGATTTCCTGACCTTTTGATCCACCCACCTGGGTCTCCCAAAGTGCTGAGATTACAGACATGAGCCACTGTGCCTGGCCTCCTGGGGTTCTTTTAAGCAGCCTCCTAATGTTGAAGGAAAAGCAAAACAATGAAACAGTATTTTTCATTGTTCATAAATTTGAAATGTTGTAAGGTTATCATTTTCTCAGAAATATCACTAGTTTTGAAACTCAGACACATCAATTTATGGAAAGATGACAAAGTTTGTGTCAGTCTGTCTCAGCTTACAGTCACCAGGGTGCAGTTTATCTCTGCTAACATTTTTGTATCTTCTGTGTATTGTTTATTAATTTACATTTTCTGTTGTTTTACTGTATTGCATTATGTTCCAAATTCACAAAAGTCGTTAAGTGGTTCAGAATTGATTTCCCAAGTAGTAAAATCTGTAATGAAAAGAAAAACAAGACTTAATACAACTCTGAATATGTCATTAGATAAAAGATGACTGCTGCATTAAAGTTATGTGGAATGTGAATCCCTTGTTATGACAGTGATTTTACACAAACAGGAAGAAGTTAAAAAATTTTAATAATTGAATTCTGATAAACAGACTTTATTAAATGAATAATCAATTTACCACTCATGACTGGTGTGTTATCTGTTATATAAAATGTTGTCAAATGGTGGTCTAAGCCATTTAAACTTTTGTGAGCTTTCCAATAAAGGCCAAAGACCTCTCCAGAACATCTGCAAAATAATCTTTGTCATGTTGAATAATTTGGTAACTAAAGGTACAGAGGAGAACAGAACCATGGGAGCAATATTCAGAATTCAATATGTTTTAGCAAATTATCAAAAACCAAACTTGTAAAACTAATCACAAAATTATTGAAAACTATTTTTATCAAGGAGAGAGCAGAAGTTCTTTGGAAATAATCCTTAAACAAATGACGCTGTTGGATATATGTTGAAATATCAGCTCCTCTCACTTATACATGCTATGTAGCCTATTTCACTTTATAGCTGAACAGAATCACTTATCTGCTGAGTACTTCTTTCATACAGTTCTTGTCACATGTGTGTGGATCAATTTAAGGAACAATTTGGCCAATTTTTACATGGGCTAACAAAAGCCTAAGTGATAAGAGAATACTTATTTTGTGAAATGGTATGTAGACTGCGTAAGTTATCTTTAAATCAGTAATGATGAAATACCTCTAGAGCTTTTTTGAGGGTTAAAGGTAGGGATAATTCTGCGAGGAATGATACTGCCATGTGAATAAATTAAAATTATGCCTAATACCCAATTACTCACTGTTTCATTCTCCATGAAATTCATGGTCAGCAACATATTTCTAATTTTGATTTGGTTTTGGACAAAATACTGAAAACAGAGTTTAACATAAAATCATATGAAGAATTGGTGGGAAGTATACTTTTCACACTGAAATACTAGGATTTTGAGGGAAAAGCTGTTTAAACAAGTTTTTTAAAGGTGATGCCAATAATATCAATATTTATCTAAAATGCCAACAGTTTAAATGTTGAGGATGTGATCACCAGATTTGTTGAGAAGAACAAACTGCAGTTTACTGACCAGAAATCTGACTTTTCTAAGCCTTATTAGCCCTATTTAATTACCGGAGAAAGGACTCAATGACATATGATTGGGCATGTTTAACATACTGATGTGCATCCAGATATGAAAAATACCTTCCAGAGCAAGCATATCCAAAGAGTATATTAAAAATCTATTTGCTAGTATCTCTCAAATTAGAACTTCCAGTCTTTCACATTTTGAGTGTAATAGGCTCAACAACCTAGAATTTGATAGCCATACATAATCTTCAGGGAGACATATCTCTTTAAGGTTAGATTCAGTAATCACTCTGAATGTCTTGAGAATTACCCAAAACATTACCTAATGCTTATTCATTTTTCTAGTCAATCTATGATTGTGACTTGGGAATTTTTTTTTTTAGTCTTGCTGATTCTATTTCTTATATCTCTTTTGAAAACATCTGCTTTTATCTTTCTCCATCATGACCAGTTTAGACAAAGTCACTTTATCTTCTAGCCTAACTGTATCCACTTTACATACATAAACACACACACCATACACACACACACACACACACACCCCCCATACACACACACACACACACAGAGAGAGAGAGAGAGAGAGAGAGAGTTTAGAAAGTAATACATAGAGTTTAAAAGTCATCAAGGATGTAAAATATGTCTGTGAATATGCTATCTCTTTGTTTAAATTTTTAGATGGCATTTTATTGTTTGTAGTCCAAAAATCAAATTC